CTCAGAGGCTCAGACACCTTTGACCAGGAGGCTGGTGGGCACTCAGTGGGGAGCGGGGTTGGCGCAGGTGACTCTGCCCTCCTCCTCCCCCTTTCCACTGTCCCTGGAGTCCCCCCAGCTGCGAGGCTAAGTGCCAACATCATCTTCAGACAGGCCTCGGTGATGCCCCAGAAGGGTGCGTGGCAGGCAGGCCTCCGTGATAACGACTGATGCAGGAGGTGTTCAGACAGACACCGCACCTGGCCGGAGAGGAGGCGCTCTGTGCGGCCGCCGCGCCCCGGCTCAGGACGCGCTCTATCACAGATAGGAAGTCGCTGGCGAGGAAGTGGCACAGGAGTAGCTGGGACGTGCCTATTTCCCGGGGCTCTGAGCAGGCTGCCCCGGTGCCAGCGCCCCGGCGAGACGGCGGTCGATCCGCACCCTTCTGCCCTCGCGCCCTTCCTTCGTGCCGCAGAGAGCTGGGGGTGCCTGGGGAGGCGGTGGGTGAGGGATGCCCCCCTGGCCCTGCCCGGGTGCTGGCCGCACTGCCAGCCCGCAGGTCCCTGGGTGCCCCATAGAGAGTCGTCACAGGGACAAAACCGGCCTTCGTGGCTTGATGAAGCGCCGGAGTGTGACCTAGTAAATTCAGCTATAGTTTTTACTGAAGACTTTTTCCCTTTATTTTTGATTTAAAAACATATCAAAAGACACCCCAGATGCTTAGTTTCCCACTGTGGAAAAGAAAAGAAAACTTGAATTACTAGGCAGTAAGGAAGAAGAGAGAACTTTATTGAGAACACTTGCAGTACACGTTAGCGGAAGCTTCTCAGATTCCAGACGGCTTAAACCTTAACGTTTTCAGGCTGTCTCCCCTCTGTGGGCAGAAGCGGACGGTGGCATCGAGGCGTGTTGCAGGGCTGAACGTCCAGCGGGGCAGGCAGCGTGGGAGGGGACCCAGTACTGCGCCCGGTTCTTTCCAGGAGCAGCTTCCCTGAGGTGCAGCTTGCCTGCGGTCCCCGCACCCTTTGCACTTGGGTGCGACGGTGATTCTCAGGGGCTCCCAGCGGTGTGGCCGTCAGGGTCACTAACGAGAGACGCCTGCTTCACCCTGTGCCCGTTTGCAGCCCCTGCCCACCCGTCCCCCAGCGCCGGGCACCCACTTCCTGCTTCCTGTCTGCGGATTTGCCAGCTCTGGCGTTTCACGTCAGCGGACTCACCCGGTGTGGTCCTTTCCTGACTGGTTCTCACGGAGCACTGTGTGTTCAGGGCTCCCCCGTGTTGCAGCAGGTGTCAGTGCTTCATGCCCTCCTGGGGCCAAGGAGCCGTGTGGACGGACCAAGTTGTGTTCACCTGTGGATGAACAGCTGGGTTGTTTCTACCGCCAGCTACTGTGATGGGAGCTGCCGTGGACACTCGTGCACAGTACTTGTTGGAGCGTCTGTTCCGACCCCTTTGAGTGTGCACCCCAGCATGGAATTGACACTGCACACGCTTGTCCCAGTTGCTTTGCCGCCTAAAGTGCTCATGCGTTCTCGCTCTGTGTGTGTCCCCTTAGCGTGAGGGCATCACCTCACTTCCCCCAGTGGCAGCGTGGCCCTCGGTCTCGGGGAGTCAAGCGTCGAGGTGATACTTTAGTCTACTGGGGGGTCCACTTCCACCAGCTGACCCCCTGCTTGGAGCACTTTTTCTTCCTGGGACCGTCCTCCCCAGGACCACGTTCTGGTTGATGCTCATCTCCCGACTGTCCCTTAATTTGGAGCAGCCCTCCGCCTCCTTTGTCTCTCGTGACGTGGTGTTGTGGGTGGAGGCTGGCTCCTGTCCCTGTTTCGGACCGGGTGGTGCTTCCCCCCCATTAGATTCTGGCTGTGATCCCAGATTCGGACGTGGGGATGCACTCCCTGCTCTGGGGTCTGCGTCTGGACTCCCGTCGGGTGGGCTCCTCGGAAGCCGCGAGTTGCGGGCCGTCCCATCTCTGTGCTGTTGGTCACTGTTCCCGCGGTAAAGCGGTCGGGCATCCTGCTCCTGGCCAGCGAGTGCCCCAGCTTCAGCCACGCCGGGGTCTCGCCTGTCCCAGGCTGCGCGACAGTCGTGTGGGACGAGCCCTCCAGGACCCTCTGCCGGACCAGTCAGCCGGCCTCTGCTCTGAGCAGGGTCCTTCCCGTCTAGTCACTCGCTCCTCCCTTCAGTCCTTCCTTCTTTCCTGTGGGTTCTTGTATTTACTTCATTGCTTAGTTTATGTAGGTGATATTTATGTTTGTTACCGGATGGACTCGTGGATTCTCATTTTTCAATAGTTGAGGGTTACTTACCCGTCTAATGATCTCGATGCTCAAACTGCCCAGGTCGTCCAGTGGGAACCCTTGAGCTGGGTCCCTGTGTCCTGGTGATGTGACCCTGTCATTGTCCTGATGCTTCTCGCCTCCTGGCAGGACACCCTGTCCAGGACCCCGAGGCGCCTGCCTCCTGTGAGGGTATGGGTGCTGGAGGCCCAGGCCTGGGCAGGGTGGGCTGGAGAAGGTACAGGTGCCCGTGGCAGTGTGTCCGCACACACCCCGTCCGCGTCTGAGGTGCTCACGCCCAGCAGGCACACGCACACCACACGCCCCCGTGCACGTTCCCGCCACAGACACTGGGGCTGAAGCCCAAACTCCAGTTCCCACCCGCGCCCACGGGTGCTCGCCGCCTGCCCTTCCCCCTCCCGTCTCCGCGTCCGTCAGGGCAGCGCCCTCGCTAATGTGCTCGGTCATGGTGGTTTAGGGTCGTCTCAGAGGTGCCCCAACACCCCGGCCAAGAGGGAGGTTAGGGCCCAGCCTTCCTTCCGACGGGGTGGATACACAGCCCTCCCGCCAGGGCCCTCCCAGGCTCGGGGGAGTGAGTTACTAAGCACAGAGGACGTTAGGAAGTCGCGTTCGGCGCTGACACCGTGCCTTCCGTGCTGGCTGCTCTCCACTTCTGTGCTCTTGGTGGGGTTCGGAGAGCGTTGCTGCCCAGGAGAGCGGGGTTACCAGGAAACAGCAAAGCTGGCGGACGCCTTGACTTTACCTTGTGCTGCTCCAGCGAAAATCGTGAAACCAGCCTCCGCTCTCAGATGAACGCCCGGGAAGGATGTGTGTGCGCCGGCGGGCGGCTGTGCGCGCTCGGAGCCCGCTGGGGGCGCTGATCGTGGCTTTGCCCCCGGAGCCAGGGCTCTAGGGTCTCGGGTGAGAAGGGACTCCGGGAGCACCGGGTCCAGTCTCTGGTTCAGTAAGAACCCCTTTTGGTTAAGTCGGGGCCTCTGCCTTGTACCTGCCTTCCCCCCGCTGGGCCCTCGGAGCCGTTGTGCCGCTGGTTTTGCAGGTCAGGAAATGGGCTTCCAGAGCTGAGTGGCAGGTGCTGTGCGGGGGCCTGTGTGACTCATGTCTCTGCCCACGGAGCTCTCGAGGCCTCGGTGCTTGCTTGGGTGTGTGTCAGGTGTGAGGAGGACAGGTTTGCTCTGTGATCTCAGGTGAACCAGGGACTGCGGGATGGAAGCTGCCTCTGATTAGCCAGCGGGGGTGGGGGGTGGTTCTGTGAACACCCAGCCAGCCACGGAGTGAGGGCTGCCCCATCCCTGATCAACACTTTGGACCCTCGATCGGACGCAGTTCCCACCCAGATATCCTGATGTCGGGCACCTCTGGGGAAGGACGGGGACTATGACCTCGGGTGGCTTTGCATGGCTTCCGCGTGGTTTGCTCCTACCTGTTGGAGACCAGGGGAAGCCGAGCACACAGGGAGGGGGCCTGGTTCCCGGCTGTGTCGTTACTGCTTAAGGTTTCCAGCGGTCAAGTCAGACTCTTGGGGCCGCGCGTGCACCTCCTGGGTTTGCTGGAGGGTCGGGGACAGGCCCCGTTCACTAACACATTGTCTGTCCCTGTCCTGGCCATCACCACCCTCCCAGCGGAGATGAGAGCAAGTGTGCACTTGACGGAGCCCTCAGTGCTGGGGCTCCTGCGATGGGGACTTGCGGGGGTCAGGGAGCTTAGTGACAGCTCTCACCTCGGCAGATGCGAGTCTGCGTGGAAAGCGAGGCTTCGGTGGGGCTTGAGCCGCTGCAGACGGCGCTTGTTGAACGCAGATACTCTGTCGGAGGTTTGCACTCATCGAGAACTGTTAAAACTAAAAATGGCTCGCTTCCTGTCACTTAAACATTGCTCACCGTCCTCCCGGCGAGGCCAGCCGCGCCCCGTCTTGGTGGTGCTTCTGGGGAGGAGGGGGCCCAGCCCTGCAGAACTGCTGGAAGAGCGAGGCTGTGTGATGCGTTTGCAGTAGAGATTATCCTGGCACCCAGAGAGCGTGCGGCACCCGTGTCAGGCACCGTCCAGGTGCCAGGAGCATCCGGGGCGTGGGCTGGAGTCCCCGGAGTCCTCCGGGCAGTGAGGGCGCCTCCAGACGCTGGGGAGCTTTTTCTTGGTGAGGAAGGGGTGGTCCTGCTGCTGGGGCTCTGAGTGCCCCCCCCGGCCCCTTAGGGAGCTGCTCAGGTGGAGAATTCGGAAGAAGCAGCATGGCTGTACTTTATTGACAAAGACTGGACATTCCCAGACTCAGTTGGTTTTCTTTTTTACGTTTTGACGAGAGGGGTCTGCGTTGTCGTTGTTGTTACCGCTGCGTTCACTCTGCCCTTCAGGAGGCACACAGCAGCGTCCCTCCCCAGGCTGGCAGGAGGTGCAGGGCACCCGGCGTCCTCCCACTTAGCACACACGCACACACACACACGCAGGCGCGGAAAGTGTTCCGCCACCTCCAGTTCACGCTAGCTGTGTGAGTTCTGTTCCTCTAAAATGGCAAATTTATGGCACGTCCCAGTGTCCCCCTCCTTTTCGCTCTCGTTGGCGGTGTCAGAAACGTCTGCCGCATGATCCAGTGTGTGCGGGGGTCCGTGCCCCGTGCTCATGACCCAGATGGATGGACAGCTCTGTGTGTGAGTGGCCAGCGGGAGGGTGCCTTAGGGCCGCGCGGGGCACAGTGTCCGGCCCTTCCCGCCCACCCCACCCCACCCCACCCCACCCCACCCCCCTACACGGCACTGCTGGACTTCACCTCGGCCTGCTCGGTGCTGTCCGGGACTGCCGCCTTGAGGGCCGCGTGGCAGAAGCGGTTCAGGGCGGACAGGCTGGTCTTCTGCTCCAGGTAGAGCCGCAGCTTGTCTCGGAAGGTCTCCCCGAGGAAGCTGTAGACCAGGGGGTTGAGGCAGCTGTTGGAGAAGGCGGCCAGGTTGACCACGTGGCCGGCCAGCGGGTGCGCGTGGCGGGGGGACCTCTGGCAGGGTCCGGCCCCGGGCGGTGCACGCTGCAGCAGGTGCACGCTGATGAAGACGTTCTCGGGCAGCCAGCACACAAAGAAGACCAGGACCACGGCCAGGATCATGCGCAGAGCCTTCTGCCTCCGCGGGCGAAGCCCATGGTGCCGGTGCGCCGTCACCAGGACCCTGACGATGAGCGAGTAGCAGAGGCCGATGATGGCGAAGGGGACCACGAAGCCCAGCGTGACCTCCAGCCACTGCACCTCCCTGACGTCCGCGAAGCAGAAGCAGACGTCCTCGCTGTGCTGCAGGTGCACGGCGGTGAAGGGCACCAGGGTGGCAGACACGGAGGCCATCCAGATGAGGCCGCAGCTCAGCCGTGCGCGGGGCTTGGTGCGGAACGGGCCGCAGCGCGTGGCCTTGGCCAGAGCCAGGTAGCGGTCGAAGCTCATCCAGGTGAGGAAGAAGACGCTGCTGTACATGTTGACCTGCAGGAAGAGCGACATGAAGGTGCAGAGCGCGGTGATGTCGTAGTACTGCTCGTCCAGGTTGAACACCTCGATCAGCGAGTCTGCCACCAGGACGAGGTCCGCGGCCGCCAGGTTGGTGAAGTACAGGTCGGGGATGGTCATCTTCTCCCGGAAGCGGATGTTCACCACCAGGATCAGGAGGTTGCCCGCGAAGCCGATGGGGAAGAGGAAGATGGTGTAGAGGCAGGACAGGAAGAGCCCGACGGCGCGCTGCTGCTGCTCCGAGAGCGCGGCCGAGCTGTTGGCCAGCGCGCGGGGCAGGCCGAGGCCGCTGGAGGAGCCGTTGGAGGCGCCCGGCGGCGTCTCCATGCTGGGCCAGGCGCCCGGAGGGACAGCCGGCCTCTCAGGATTTGCCGCAAGGCTCCCAGAAACCGTTTTTTAACAGGAAATCCCTCTTGAGAAGGAAAGGGGATGCTCTTGGAAGCGAGCCAGGCATCTGGAAAAGCGGAGCAGGCCCCAGGGGCACTTGTGCAACCGGAGGTGGAGGTCGGCGCCTGCGCTCTGGCCTGTGCTTCTGCCTGGCCTCTGGGTCTGCGGCTGTGTCCACGCCACACCTGAGCCCCTCACTCCCGGGCACCTGGGGAAGCAAGAGCAGAGGATTCAAGCCCGGCGGCTCCAGGGCTTGCTGATGATGCGGGACGGGTGCAGCACACGAGCGCGCGGGGCAGGCCTGGACGTGTCCCCTCCGCTTGGAGGGCCGGCCGGCCCTGTGCTGGAGCAGGGGAGTCAAGCGCAGAACACGGCCCGTGTCCTCTCCCCAGGGCTCCCAGGGCCAGTGGGTCTGAGTGCAGCTGGCGGTGACTCGTGCTCAGGCCCCTGCACGCAGCTCAGGAGGGCGCACGGCTGGATGTTCGCGTGGAAGCCTTAGGAGGGTTGTGGTCAGGAGACGAAATGGTTTTATTTCGGCGGCTGCTGGAAGAGAACCAAGACGGGAAGGGGAAAAGCGGCCTTTTCTGGAAGGGAGCGGGCCCAGCACGCTTGGTGAGAGGTGGAGCAGAGGTTTTTTTCTTGCAATAATACAGATCAAAGAAGTCTAGCATTTTCGGCTAACCCTAAGTTTGGGTGCCGAACATGGAACTGTTTTCAGAACATGGAATGAGAGAACATGAGAAATAAAGGTGGTCATTGTTTTAGGAAATAAGATTTGAATTTTTTAAACTGTTTTGACAAATTATTGTAAAACCGAATGTATTTCTCCACTGCTGTTTGCAACCTGGAAACGCTGTGACTTGGAGGCTGGGGAGAGCAACCCTCCAAGACCTCTGCTTCTGACCGTCTCGCCCTGGTGGCCGCTCACGCGCTCGGCCTGACACAGGCTCTGCTCAGCGCGCTCCCCAGAGGCTCTGCGGCGTTGACGGGCCACCCTGGGCAGGATCTGCGGTCTCGGGCATCACGGCTGGGGAGTGGCAAGGTGGCCCCAGCTTTGTGGGGTAGCCCCGTCGGCAGGGCCGGGGCGGAGGAGCCTTAGTGACCACCTTGGAGAGTTTCTGCCTCTCCTGGGAGGTGGCCAGGGAGCGTTTTCAAAGTTGCCAGAGCAGCAGGTGCTTACTGACCTATTGCTTGAAAACAGTTTCTAAAAAAAAAAGGAGGAAAGAGATGGATCGGGACCTTGGTGTCAGTTATTTTAAAAGGGTTCAATAACCTCTGCTTCACTGGGGTTGATCAACTGGATTTTACTAGTTGTGTTGTGTTCTTTATTCATCTTTGGTAGGTATTCCCAATTTGACCAACATAAATGCCATTGTTCTCAGATTCCATCTGTAATGTTTAAAGCCTCTGTTTTTAAATTTCTCTGTAAAAACCGCTTAGAGTATTTGTTTTGCTTTTTAAACGGGGGAATTTTGGCAAGTTTTGGACTGATTCTCAGGAAACTCCAAGGCGAGCAGAGCCCTTGAGACACACCTGCCCTCTCCTGTGCTCGTTACGTGTTGGCCGTCACTTCTTTCCTGGGTAAATGGGTCTTTGATCCTTGACCAATGCTGTTTTCATGGTGGTTTGATGAAAAGATAAGCATGAATCTTACTGCTGACACACTTTCCTCATGAAAGTTGGCCACGAATTTACAAATAGAAAGTTGAGTATAAAGCAGTCAGGTATCATTTTGTTTCAGATTGCCACTGCTTGTCCAGAGCTAGAAGAATGAACCACATTTTGGTCAGATCTACGAGGTATCTTTTGTGTATTAAATTAATCTCGGGTTGGCGGGCATCCTCATTGAGGGAGTAAGTGATGCGCCACCGTCAGAGCCCTGGCGATCTTCTTGGAGAAGATGCTCGTTTGAACAAAACAGGACGGAAAGCAGCTAGCGTTGTTTTCAGCCAGCGTCATGAAGACCCTTCCTGCTGAGCCGCCCTCACTGAACGTGCCCGGTCTGTGCACATCTGCTCTGGCTGTGCGCCGTCTTGTGCTGCGCCCAGCCGAGACATCCAGCCCTGTCTGCCCGGCCCGTCTCCGTCCCGGTGCCGACCCGAACACAGACCCAGAGCCTGGGTCAGTCACGCTTACCTGCGCGGCTGCCGCTGGCCACCTGCGTGTGTCCTCTGAGCAGACCCGTCCCCCGTCCCTGGGAGGGCAGCTCAGCCAGCCTCCGGGATGCGCTCACGGCTGGGGGCGGCAGCGATTCTGGACTTGGGAGTGGAATCGGGACCTTCGCGGGACGCCAGAGAGGAGCGTGGAGGCTCCGGAGGCCAGCCCGTTGTCCTCGGCAGGCAGCCCGGGCGGTTGTCGGCGGTTGTCGGATGGTTGGCCCCTGGCGGCCGCAGGCAGGCTTTATAGGCCCGCGGCTGGCGGGCGGGCACCTCCCACAGGTCCGGATGTAACCCCTTTTTTGCTGGGCCTTTTTCTCCCCCTCTGGCACTGAGCTCAGTCCCACCAAAGAGTCTTCAGGGAAGTTTCCAGTTGAACAGCTTTTTTTTACCCACTGATACAAACCTCTTTTTAAGTTTGAAGGGATTGTAAATGGGTCTTATCTTTTAGATAAAAATCTATCATCCTTTGGTGAAGCTTACATATTGTTGCTTGTTTTAGCAATGGACTGCCTTTAAAACTAAAACTAGATTTCCTAAGTTCGGAGAGTAGTATGTGAATTATACATAGAGAATTTCACCTAGGAGTTTCACAAGACACTTGTAGAAAGAAATGTAAACCCAGCAAGTAGCAGGTATTTTCGGCAGGTGAGCTCAGAGTCGGGTAGATGAGTAGTCTCCGCTCCCCTTCCCTTTGCTCCCGAAGTCCCTGGAGGTGCCTGTCCTGCAGGTGTTGCCTAAGACCTCTCTTTTCGCCAGGGCTCCCGCCCTCCCACTGTGCGCCTGCCCTGGTGCCGGCAGGACCGGCCTGACCCCACTTCCAGTGCCGACTGACGATGCACCCCACCTGCCGGCGGATGGATGTCACCATCGGCCTGGAGAGGCTGGCAAAACCGCCCCAAGCGTCCCCGGACACGCTCAGCTCGGGGCTGAGAGCGCTGCAGGCCCGCCGGGAGAGTTGCGTGGTTGTCATGAGCACTGCATTTTAATCCAGCTCCTACCTTCCTCTTGGGTGTCCCTGTTTTCACCTCGTTGGCTTTTGAAGCTGTGAGACTGAACTCCGAGTGGAGGAACGAAGCACACCGCTGCAGTGTGAGCCCCCGCCTGGTGGGACGGAGTGTGGAGCGAGGGCGGGGTCCCTGAGCCCCGGGGTCAGCGCGCTGCGAACCTTCTGCTCTGTTCCCAGCTGAGTGCGCGTGAGCTTGAAGGTGTTTTTTGAGCGATGCTGACTTAACATCCTTTGGGAAATGTACACGTTTCCACAGAAGACAGTGTTGAATTTTTTATGGAAAAGTACTAGTGTTCAGGGTTCTTTCCAGCTGTGCTTCTAATAGGTTCGCTTTTTAAAGAATGGCGCGATCACATAAATGGGGCTGATTTGATTTGAGACCTGTTTCTGGCCAGCTACACACGCAAGATGGCTTCAACACTAGAAATGCTGGAGACACCATTTTGAGAGCAGTGAGTCATGAGAAAGTACAGTTTCCCCTTGAGTTAAATAAAGGACTAAAACACAAATTCAGACGCTGAAATAGCCGAGTCACGTCACTGAAGCACAGCCGCTCCCTCCTGGCGGGACACACGCCCTGCAGCCCCGCCTCTCGTCCGTGTGTTCCCGAACTCACCTGGGGCCGCTAGGCCGCGGGCCCCCTTTTCTCGTGGCCCCGGGTGGGTAAGTAATGGTCAACCCTCCTGCAGCTGGTCAGCGTGAGGGCCAGCCCACGGTGTTGGGGGGGCGTCAGGCCACTGAACCCCAGTTGATGTTCGCACGGGCAGGGCCCAAGAGGCCTCGTAGACGTTTTCGTGAGGCGAGAAGCCCGTCTGTACGTTTTAACATCCAGCCTTGAAAGAGCGCTTACTCCGCACTGGGCAGCGTGGCGCCCACCGTCTCGGAACCCTCCGTGAGCTCCCTGTCAGGTGAGGCGGTATCCCTGTGTACTGATGGGAAAACCGAGCTCAGAAGGAACGGTACCGGGGCCTCGGAGCTGGGGCTCGGCCCATCTGAGGGCCTCCGAGCCCGAGGTCTCCTCTCCTCGCCGGGAGCCTCCCACATTGACCGTTGGCCTGAAGGGTGCTCGTCTTGGGGCAGAACTGCAGTTCTTGGGATCTTCCTGTCCATCCCCGAACTGGGTCAGCAGCTGGGTGGTGCCCCTCGCCGCCCCTGCCCCGCCTCACACAGCTCTCTGCTCTGTGTGGGGCTGCGGGGCGGGGCGGCCGGAGCCGCAGCTGGCGCTCCCCTCACCGGGCTCCTCGCCTCTCGACACAGCCGTCATGCCCCTGTTGGTGTCGCGAGTCCCGGTCCTGCACGTGCGCAAGTGCGTGTGCCCGACAGCTGCCGGCGTATCTGCGGCCCGGCCGTTTCCCGGAAGGCAGCCCCGTGGGAAGGGTTTGCTGCTCCCCAGCCCCAGCACAGGCGCCCATTGCGCGCATGGCCCCACGGTATTTACGGTATTTACGACTCGAGGCAGCGGCCCGGGGCCCGGCTGGTGTTGACTCTCAGGCAGCTGGCTCCTCTGTGCCGTTGCCAGGAGCCTCCTGGACGTTTCCTTTTGGCCTTTGAGAAGGACCTGCCGGTGGCATGGGAACAGGGGTCTGCCCAGGGAGGGGCTGTCCCGTCCCTGGGGGCTCTGGGTGGAATGCTCTAGAAGGCCAGGCTGCAGGCCCAGGTCCTTGTCCCAGCCCCATGCTAGTGGCCCCAGCAGTGTCCTGGGAGGGGCGAGGAGCCCCAGGAGGTGGCTTCCCACCCCGTCAGCCCCGCTTTATCCCACACACCCTCTCCTGGAGTCAGGTGCCCCCCGCCGCCAGAGAGCCTGTGTGTTTGCTTAGCTCTCGGTTGGCTCTGGAGCTCTCTCTCCGGCTCTGTGTGTCCTCACGGGGTGCAGGATGCGGGCTGAGTGGGGCAGAGCCGCGGGGGCGGGGACAGGGTGGGGGGGCTGGGGGCCTCGACCTTCCAGCGGTCAGCCCCGCCCCCCCTCCGGCCAGAGCAGCCCTTTGTCGTCTCAGGCTTTGTTTAAAGAAAGGCTCCTGCTGCTAAAAAGAAAGTTTGGGAGCCACCAGTTTACATTCTTGTGGCGGGTCCTAAGATGGTTCCTTTAGCCGACATACTTAGAAACGCAGCGTGAGCAGCTCCTCCAGGCTTGGCCGCCGTTTCTTCAGGGAGCCCTGCGCACTCGTGGACTTGCCGTCGCCTCGTCTGGTTCTAAGACTGGCAAGCCGTTGGCGTCTGTTACTGGGAACTGATTGATTGAGGTCCTTTCCCTTCTGGCCTGCACTCCTGCCACACACCGTAGAAAACTGGATGGACTCTAGGAAAGGGCTCTTCTCAGGTGTTGGCACCACAGGCCGAGCAGCGGGTGGACCTGAAGGGAGGTGGGCTG